GGTTTTTGCAATTGTTGGTCCGGTGGCCTTCTTGACGGCATTTCCAACAACACTTGGATCTATCGTAATTTTGTTGGTCAACCGCGGCTACCTCAACTCCTTTCCTGGGTTTTGAATTCTCATTGTTGTCCTTGGACCTTTTCTCGTCCTTGTCCTTGCTCTTCATGTTCTGTGTATTGCCTGAGCAGTGGTTTCCATCCACCATCCCCAAAACGTTTACTTCGAACTCGTTTCCAGCCCTCACCAAGTCATTTATTGAGCGGAGACTTCCCCTCTTAATGGGTATCTTGTATTGTTTAAGCATGTTACGATAAAGTCTATTGACTTGTTCGTGGACAGACATGCTGCCATGTCTCCTCATCAGGGTCTGTACTTCAGTGACATATGTCCTGATCCGCTCGTTAGGGTTCTGCATGCGATCGCGAATTTTATCTTCCAGCTGGTCGATATTATCCAGTGGCAAGAAATACTTCTTCAAGTCGTGGATGAAGTGTTCCCATCGATACCATGGTCTCTTGTTCTTCCGATACCAGCCGAGAGCTTCACCCTTCAGCAGTATTGGGACATGATCGATCAGCATGCGATCAGGAATTTGTGAGCTGTCTCTTAATTCCTCGATTCTCTCAATGAAGCTATGGACATTATCATTCCCGTCATATGTGACGTTCCACTTCCTGATAGTGTCAGCTGGTCTCAGATCTCCATAACTCATTGGGTAGTTGGGCCTGTCAGGATACCTCTCCTGGTGATTTCTTCTACGGTGATACTCCCTATCATCATGTTCTGAATGTGGGTACCACCGCTCACGACTTCTGTCCCTGTCGTAGTGACTACCCGCGTAACTTCTTCTCTCTGAGTGTGGAGTATATGCCCCACTTCTACGTTTATCGTTAGGATAATGTTCGTAGTACATCTGCTCACGATCTTCACGCCTTTCCGGATGTCTGAACTCTTCAGGATCCCTGTAATAGTCTTCGCGATGTTTTCTCGGGGTTTCGGGGTATCTCTCATGATACTGTTCACGACCTCGTTGGTGAAGTTCATAGTCTTCATTTACGTTACGACGTGCTGTTCTGGAGCCTGAAAAATCTCTCTGTTGAGGGTGGTCAGCCTGGTATTCTCTTGTTGGAGAACGTATTCTAGGTGTTACGACTCTTCTAGGTATAGCACCTTTACTCTGTCTTCCTTCCCATTCGTAAGAGACTTCCTGATATTTATTGTGTTTTGGCGTTTCTTTAGTAGGTGGATCCTGGTGAGAACGTCGTGATGGAGGATCCACGAGTGGTGTCGAGGTGAATCGACGATTTTCACGGTCGTCGTGCTTCCGATCCTCAGTTTCTTGGTCTCTTCTAGTTCGTTTCTGTTCTCTGATTTGATCGAGAATCCTCTTCACTTCCTGGTCACCTGGTATGTACTGGTATGTACTTGTACATCGGTGACTATTCAAGCTCCTGACCTTGGGGCAGGTGCTTTCGGTGGAGGCATCTTCGCTGGAGAGCTTCTTATCGATTCCAACACCTCAATGCCATCGAGACCAATCTCCTCTTCGGGTCGTCGTTGTCTCTTGGGTGTCTGTGGTTCACTACGAGTCATTCTTTGTGGTTTGGATTTCCTATTGTTGTCTAATTCCTTCTGTACTTCGGCTAGAGCCTTCCTCAGACGCTGAGGTGTGACAACAGTGTTATCGCCTTCAGCTGATGGTTCCTCTGTATCGAGCGTATCTTCCTGAGTAGGGGAACTCATCTTCCGAGGTGTTTCTTGGGTCTTCTTCCGGGTGGAACTATTAGCACGAGTTGGAATCCTGCTGGTTCTTCGACTGGATGTGCTATCCGAGATGTCGAATAGGTAGACCTCGTTCTCTCAGCTTTTCTTGCAATAATGCCTTATTGGCTTTATAAATCCATGACACTTTGTCCTTTTCGGGTTTAACCATTGTGTTTCAATTAGTCGAGGGTTATCTTCGGGGTTTACTTAATTTCGCGGTTAATTAATTATTAATTTACCGTTTTTATTTTACTCGCGTTATTGATTGTCGATTTTTCTTTTAATTTTAGCAACTGTGGTTTCTAATTCCTCGTTTCGAGTCCGTTGTTCGAGCGCCAGAAAACTGTGATGAACCTTCCAATAATTTTCTTTTCTCTAAATATTTTTCCTGTGATATCTTCGTTAATTGCCTTTCTGTTGTCTCTCACCGGATTGACAATAGTCAAAATACCATCGACGAATTTTCTCTCGTGCTAATTTTCTTAGTCCAGGGTGAGGTTTAAGATGGTCACGGAAATTAATGAGGTTCACACAGCTTTTCGAATATCGGCAACTAATTTTTCTCATTTATCCATTTAGTGGTAACTGCTACAATTTCATTAAATCGTGAATTTTCTTAGATTTTTCTGCGTAAATTTCGTAAATTAAATTTATTTCTTTTAACAATTTTTTTACCGGTCTCGCCGTCGATTCGTCGGGTTGGGATTATTTTCGTTAATCTTAACGCGAATTCATAACTTTTAATTACTATTTCCGAAGAAACATTTAGTCC